CACAGGAGCTACAGTATCCAGAGTCGTACGTAGCGAGGAGGTGAAATTATTAACAAGATAATCGACTTCTGTTGGGGTAGCGTTCAGATAGCTGCTCTGCTCTGTGTTGGTACAGGGCATTGAAGATGATAACAGTGGGTGGATTATATTCTTAAACTTAGTTACAGCGCTTTCAGAAAGACATCTAGTTCGGCCAGGGCCGTAACAGAGGAATATCAGGATGCGGAGGCTATGGCTGCACAAGGAACAAGCCACACTGGAATGGTAAATAGATTGTGTTAAGAAATAAATATATATATTCTTAATGCTTATTTACTGACTATATTGTTTTATGTATTTTAATAATAGAGGCCTTTATAAACAAGGCCCAGAGTTGACAAAGAACTAGGTCAGAGGGTGACAAGTTGCCCTGGCAACAGACTTTAGAAAGGAGAAGTAAAGAGAAGGGGAAGTTTAGTGCAGAGCTGCACAGGAAGTAAGACACAAAGAAAGAGCAACTGGTACCATACAAGGAGTTTTTTTTTTGATCGAAACGTAGCGTGTGACGTAGCCAAACTATACATATACACATTCACCTTGTGATTTTGTCAGAGCTGCGTATGTGTGCTCGTGCTGCAGTTCTCCATTTCTGTAAATGTAAAATCAAGATCATTTTTTGAGTTTTGACCACACTGGGTCCAGTTTTTCTTTTTTCGCCAAAAGAATTTAAAGAACTAAATTTAATAATTGGTGCCGTGACCCGGATTCTCTTGCGGCTGAGAGGATAGATTGGCTTAAGGTGGGATCTGATATGAGGCAAACAGGAGACCGGTCTAAAAGATTTAAAGGTAAGCACAAGCCTGTTCAAGGAAAACGCAAATTTGTGCATATTGGATGAATTCTAAATCATCTGTTTGCCGAATGGAAGATCCTTAAATTGGCTCAGGAGTGGTGAAATTAAAGTAAATTATAAAATCTGTTAAGTAGATTTCAGGTGAAGACCCTTATGAAGAGAACATCGAGGGAACAGTTTTACCCTGCCCGGGATAGGGTTACCG